GGCACTATGACACCAGTGCTCTCTAAACCTTTATATTATAGTTTTATTGTAGCGCTGGAAATATATTAATCAATTGCCATAAAACATTTGACCACAAATTATTATTCAACATATATGTCTCTCATTTATAATATTGTATGAAGAGTAGAGAAGGGGAGGAATTTCAACTCTTTCTCACACTCATTGAATCTAAAATAGAGAAGCTAGTATTAAATTCTAGGTGTATGCTCTCTGAATTAATTTTTATAACCCAACTGAATAAGACCTGAAAGATATGCAAATCTTAAACACTTCAGAAATAACAAATCATTTCATGATGGAAGATTATTGGCTTAAAGAAATGAATATGAAGATATAACATCTTCATAATTCTCCCTGGTGAAGAAGCAACTGGAGATATTTGACTAACTACACTACGATACCAGGTTAATGCTGAAAAAAAAATTGTGCTTTTATATATTTTTTAGAGAGAAAAGTCCCTATGTGATGGTGACTTTTTCATAAAGACAAGCAGATTTGCAAAACTTTTACTGGTAAATCTAAGCCTTTTCCCCAAGAGGCATCATATTGCTTAAATGTGCTGTGAGGGCATGTGTGTGTGTGTGTGTGTGTGTGTGTTGGGGGAACTGGACCAGAAGGACAAGGATTGACTCTAGGACATGGGCATTATAATTAACCCCAGTCAACAGACACGGAAGCTAAGGCTCAACTGAATTAACTTCCAGTCAGGGCCAGGTGACGAGCAGATAGTGACCCATTCTTCAAAATGTTAGCCCACAGTACCAAAGCTCTAGGTCTTTCTAAACATCAGAGTATTTATTTATTTACTTTTCTATAATTCACTGGCATTATATGCAAATAGATGGCATATTTAATCACTACAGTAATAAGTCTATTTGTAACTAATAAATTAAATCTTTCTATAATTTAAATGTGTCCAGTTTATAGGAGTATGATTTATAGACAAATATTTACTTATAAATATGAGCAAAATTTCCTTATAAATATAAACATATTTGAAGCATAAACTTTGGTATTTCATGAACACAGCAGTATAACGTAGTAGTTAAAAATAAAGATGCTAACAGCAAAGAGAACTAGACTCGAGTCCTAACTGCCCTGACACTTTATTTGAACCTGTTTCCGCATTTCCGGATGAGGTGTATGATACCTACCTCACAGAGTCAATATATGATTTAAAAAAAAAAACTCACTGCCATCAAGTCAATTCTGACTCATAGTGATCCCCTTTGGGTTTCTGAGGCACTAAATCTTTACTAAAGTAGATTGCCCAGTCTTCCTTCCATGGAGTGACTGGTGGATTTGAACTACCAACCTTCTGATTAGCAGTCAAATACCTTTGGCGTTATGCCACCAGAGTTCCTTATATATGATTTAATGAGACAATAATTGAAAAGTTTTTAATCTAGTGTCTGAATTAATATACAACAATGAATACTTATAGTTAATATTCTTACCAAGCTTTATTTATTTATTTATTTTGGTTTTGTCTGTTTAATTCTTTCAGGGTAACTAAACAGATCCACCACAGGAAAACACAATGGAGTAATCAGGTAATTAGCCAAGTGACACAAACCTCTTCCTATTTTTGTCTTACCTGTGTAAAAGTTTATAAATGAAATATTTGGTTGGGAACTAGCCAGAAAATTGTTTCAGTTGGGACCACTTTGCTTACCGTCCTTAACACCATAACCCTACTATTGAACTACTATGCTTCACACTAAGCCAGGGAAGAGCCAGCCTCACACCAGCCCCTCCAGGGATCACTACCATATGAAATGAAAGAACAGTCTCACTTCATGGGTGTATCAAGTGGGATTCAAAAAAATGGGCTTTAGTCCTTCCATCCCCTCACATATACACAAATCACTCTCATTCTTTGTAGTCACAATTTTAGATTTATGAATTTTCCTCTCAGTGAGTATTTTTGGATCTTTTTCTTTTTTCTTTTCTTCACCATCTTCTGAAAGACTGTTTAATCCATAATAGTTATCCCTTACTTAAGTATTTCATGAAATACTAGTATGTGGATTTGTGCTTCAAATATGCTTAATGGATGGATATAAATGACATTTCTATGAATTGGACCTATTGAAATTATAGGAAGTCATGTACCTTAATTTATTAGTTACACTGGATATGTCTCCTACAGAGTGGTTTTTTGAAAGATGAGAAAAGGACATAAAGAAGTAAAATTAAACAAAATTGAGAAGGCACAAGAAAAAGTGTTTTGCTTTATTTGGCTTTCACAGTTTGGGTACTTCTCCAATTTACATAAAGAGTTGTTTTCATCTTGATGTCAATCTCATAGAAAAAGGAATGCAGTCTAAAGTACGGCAGATAACTTCATAAAGCGAGCTTTCTTTCCTATGAAGTCTTTGAAGAAAGACAGCATTAGACACTACTTGCCTTTTGTCTCCCCAGGTCAGGAGGCAAGTCAGCTTGGTGATGTGCCTTTGGCAGGAAGTCTGTAATTAGAAATTCCTACAGAATGGCTCCCCATAGGTGCTTCCTGAAACAAAAGACAAAATAATTTAGTAGGGAAGTCCTTACCCAGGGCAGACCCTCTAGTCACAGGTGAATGGAAGGAATCATTTGCTGACAGCAAAAAAGCCACGCTGTCGAGATGGGATGCTGGATTTTGAATGAGAGTCTCTCCATCACATTAGTAGTAAGTAGCATTTTGGTTATCAACTTTCAATCTATATATTGAATAGTCTTTGAGTTTTAGGATGACTTGCATAGGAATGCTAAATAACTTCAAGTGTTCCTCTGGTTAAAAAACAAAACTTGTTAGAAAACATTCAGTAGATATATTTAATTTACCCTTACAGAATCAGGTAAAGTTGTTTTCCGATTGAGTTCATTTTTAATTATTTTTAAAGTCAAGTAGTTTGTTTTTTGCATAATGTATGTAGTTTTCTCTAAATCAGATGAAGTCTCTGAATTAGACTATGAAATTGGAATTTTTCTAGAGTACTCTTTGATTTGTTTTTCAAGATGTGCCCCTTCTTGACATCATTGACAAGGCATGATGGCAGTGTTGATTAGAAAGGTTTTGTATTGTTCAGGAAATTACTAAAAGTATACTCACATGTGTTTTAAATCTTTCTTTGAAGTTACCAATTTCTTACTGTGATAATTATTATAAAAATTTAATCTATGAAAAATAAGTGTATGGAATAATTCTGATTGCTAGCCAGAAGATCTTCATTTTACTTTAAAGGAAGACCCCACATACACCCGTGATTCTGAATACAGAAAAAGGTTGAAGATAATATTGACCGGTTCTCTTTTCCCTTGACTCTAGCTCTTATGGCTGGGAGTGAATTTATATCTGTTTATCGACACATTCTGTTGGTATGAAGAGGAGGAGTCGTTTCTGTATACACGAGTTATTCTGGGTGTAAGTAAAGTTGGTGATACTCATTATAGTTTCAGGGGGAAAAAAAAGTATTCTTTTCCCCTCAACTTCCTTGTTTTCACTGTATCTCTTTGTCTGTCTTTTCCTATGTGGACAGTCAGCACTGGCCTGGGCCCGAGCATCTGCAGTGTGTTTGAATTTTAACTGCATGCTAATTTTATTACCAATCAGTCGGAACCTGATTTCATTCATGAGAGGGACACATACTGTAAGTACTAAAATATTTGCAATCGTTTCAGTTGTTCTGATTTACTAATTTAAGCACCTTTGAAAACACAGCTATACTTACTATGAGATTCCTAATAGCCCTGTGGAAGCAGTACTTTGTTTCTTTGGGAGAGAAGGCCATGTCTAAAACTGGAGCTCAGTAATTGGTCCATGTGATCGACACTTGCTTTCACCATTGACTCCTCACATGACTTTGGACTCACTGTCCAACCTTTCCCCGATGCATCTGCTCCGTCTGACAAACCAGCTAATGAAATTGACCTGAGTCGCAGTGCTGGAAGCATTATATCAGCTTGAGCTGTTACCATGTATGATTGAAAGAAGACAAATAAGCCGTGGTGCCAAATGCCACTAAAGAAACATCTTTCTGAATACCCTGAAGGCATACTCACAGCACGTCTTTGTGGATTTTAACCTCCACCAGAACAATCCTAATCAGGATGATTTCACTGTGTTGCAACTTACCCTTGTACAGAATACCAGACCTTCAACACCCATTACCATTATCATCACCCTAATTTTATGAATATATAGATACAGATGCACATAAACCAGTTACCATTGAGTCAATCCCAATTCATGGTGACCCCCTGTTGTGTTAGAAGAGAAATATGTTCCAAAGGGTTTTCAAAGGCTGATTTTTAGGAAGTAGATCATCCGATGAGTTGCTCTCAGTTAACAGCCAGGCGGGTGACGTTGTGCACCTGCAATGATTCCACAGCTGTGTACTGTGCCTGTCTTTAACTAATAAGGAAGAACGAACAGACTAGTTCAACCACCTGGAGGAGGACAGTTACCACCTTCCTTTTCTAAATAAAGAAGCTGATGCATGAATATTGTGGTAGTTAAGTTTGTGTGTCAACCTGGCTGGGCCTGGTTGAGTGGCTGGGCAGATGGATGTAGTTATTCCTCATGGTAAGATTGGTAATTAACTCCATGGTGGAATGTATTGAAGCAGCTGAGTAGCTGCTTTAGGGATGTGGTCTGATTCCTATATATAAGCAGCAGCTTTGGGAATGGTCTCTAGCTTATGGCACGCTTGAACCCTGCACATAGCTATGCTCTGCTGACCTTGGGACTTTCAATGGACTTGAATTAATGGCCTGCTGTGTGGTTTGGTAACATCAGGACTGTGCCTTTTTACTTTTCAACCTTGGGCTTGTCAGCCTCGGCAGGCAGCAGCTGTCTGAGTGAAGAAAAGCCTGTAGCTTCAGTGGGCAGGGAGCAGGAGGCAGAGCTGGACCCCAAGGTTGAGGGGCTTTCACCCAGCCCTGGAGCCTGGCACTTTGAAATCCGAATAAAGCCTCCAAAATGTAAGAGAATAAACTCCTGTTTGTTAAGGCCATCCCACTTGTGTTATATTCCTGTCAGAGTGGCACTAGAGAACCAGAACAAATATCAACAGGGTTATTCAAGAGTTTTGAGTTTTTGTCAGAATTCATTCAATTATTTTTACTGAGCTGACATTTCAGCAAAGCAGCTGATAGCCGTCATGTTTTTACCTTTTTCTTTAATAAGCCACCAGCAGTGTCACCTAGGGGCCCAGTGGCACAGTGGTTAAGCACTTGGCTGCTAACTGAAAGGTCAGCAGTTTAAACCCACCAATTGTTCCATGGGAACAAAAGATGTGGCAGTCTGCATTCATAAATATTACAGCCTTGGAAACCTATGGGGCATTCTACTCTGTCCTATAGGGTTGCTGTGAGTCGAAATCGACTTGATGGCAATGAGTTGCTGTTGTTTAGCTTTGACGTACAGCCCCACTTGAACCCTGCTTTCAGGACACTGCCGTGACACTGTCTGTGCTATGATGTCCCCCACAAATCAGGCTTTTATATTGTGTTCCCCTAGTGCTGCCGAGGCCTGTGGAGGAGACAATTAGACAAAAGCCTCAAATTCCACAAACTGGTGGCCTATGGGATAGCTACTAACGCAAGTAAGTGCTTATTATCAATTGTCTGACGGATCTTACATCTTGTCCTCGATTCTTTACTTTGTTTTAGTCCTCTCTGCAAAGCTTCACCCTGAGATAACGAAATCCTTGCCTTCTTTCTGATCACATAAACCCTATATAAACAGACTCTCTTATTTCTAATTTCTCCTCATGCCTGTTTGTCCCTTACCAAACCCCCAGTTGACAAGGAAAGGTTGACAAAACTTCATGTTCTTTTGTGAATAATTAGGCCTGCTGATATTACAATGATAAGTGCCTACTTGAGAATGCATGCTTTGTTGTTCAGTATAATTCGTACAGGAAATAAAATTGACCTATGCTCAAACCTCATCCATAACCGTATGAAAATGACTACCCAATGGCATCATGGGTAGTAAAAAGAAAAATAAAATATCATGTGAGCAAGGTTCTGAATGATATTGAGTAGATAGAAAGAATCGGGAAAATATGTAAAGCTCTATAGCCATAGAAAATATTATCGTCATGATATTTCCAATTCAAAAGAAAAGCACTAGAAATTAGTGCCAGAGGTCAAGGTTAAGCTCTAATGAGGAAGAAAAGAAGAGGCAATAAGCAACTGCTCTGTGTTTTGTTGGAAAACAAAGGCCTTGAAATGAAAGGCTACCCGAACCATAAAGAGTTATGACTCAAGACTGTCTCCCACAAACTAATTTAACTAAAAATGTTTTCCACATTTGTTTGTATCCCCTCATGCATAAAAAAAAAAAAAAAAAAAAATAGCGGAGTAAAAGGAACACTCAAAACAAATGTGAATTTAATTAAGCAACAAGACATGACAGACGGTGCCCAAGTGCCAATTAACACAACTTGGGGTGTGCCGTGAGACAGGAGGGGACGATTTCCCCCACTGATTGCCTTCAACGCCAGATTAAGCCAGCCAGGGAAACGTTCTGCCAGAGGACTGTGTGGGGTGTTAAGAGGAAGGGCAAAAAGACAGTATGTTCTGAAGAAAACCAGCTAAGGGAGGGAGGGCAAAGAACAAGGTGCGTTCATCCTTGTATCCCAAGGTCTACAGGAGTGCTGGGTGTGTCAGGTGTCAATAACCTTTGATGAATGAGTGCACGCTTGAAGAAGTGAAGGCCCGGGGAAGGAGAAATCGGCTCAGATGTGGGAGACTTTTCAGACTTTGAAAATTCTCTAAAATGAGAATGAAAGTGCCCTGAGAGGAGTAGCCAAGTAGTGTCCAGATTGCTACTTGGTAGGTTCATCAGAGGAGGAGTTGAAGAAATCTCCAGGTTCCTTTCCAGCCTTAAGAATCCTCAATCTCTGCATAAAAGGGACTATATATAAAACAGTAAAGTAGCTGAAAGAATGTTATCACCATGCAATAGCTTTAAGGCAGACTTGGATTCTAAGAGGGTATAAAGATATTATAGACAAAGGGGGAGACAATTGAACCATGTCAGAAAAGGAAGCAAAGAAACAATGGAAAATATGTGTTGTGAAAGAATTTTGTCCTTAAACCTTTGGGTTTGTATCTTTCTTTAATGTAATCATATGTCAACAGTATAAAATTGAATTTTGCAGTCTTTTGTCCAAAATACCATTTTGGGAGCTATCACCTTCTGAAACTAGTGTGGTACATACTGTTTGGGGAATGGAATACGATTGACTGTGGGCACAGTTGACTTGACACAGATGACTAAATTCTTTCATACCTCTGCTGTTAATTGGTTGTATGATTGTTACCTATCCCCTTTCCTCTGTGGGATTAAAATAACAAAATCCGTTATCCATCTCAGCGATAAGTACAGATTAGTTGGCAAGACTGGACCTACTTGGAGATCCGTAGAAACCATGTCATTCATTTGCTGTGACCACAAATAGGGTGGAGTCCAAACTCTTTAGCATGACCAGGAGCCTCTGCTGGTCTCAGCCTCGACTACTGCTCCAGTCTCACCTCTCGCCATAACCCCGCGCTTCCACGTGTGGACACTTCCCAGCTACTGGTCGGCCAGTTGCCGTCAGTTGATTTCCCATGAGTGTCAGTACTGAGCTCTATGGTGTCTACAATGGCTCATTTTTCATAAGTACATCTCTAGGCCTTTCTTCCAAGGCATCTCTAGGTGGAGTCAAACTGCCAACCATTCTGTTGCTGTCAAGGTAACCCCAGGTGAGTTAGAGAAGAAATGGGCTCCACAGGGTTTCCAATGACTGGTTTTTTGGAACTAGATTGCTAGGCCTTTCTTCCAAGGTGCCTCTCAGTGTACTTGAACCTCCAATCTTTCAGCTAGCAGCCAAGGGCATTAAGCATTAAGCATGTGCACCACCCAAGGACTCTGGCACATAATAGGTCCTCAACAAATCTGGCCATATCTGAAGATGACTGGGAGTTGGCCAGTAGACAAAGAAGGTTGAAGGAATTATCAGGAAAGGTACAAGATGTGAGGTGCATGAATCCTTCAGGGAACTGTAACTTGGAGTGGATAAAATATAGAGGGTGAGGGGTAGAGAGATGTCAATTGTCCCCAATAAATTCACAGCCTGTGGCAGCAAGAGAAAATAGCTCTTCTTTCTCCCCCTTTCCCCTCTCACTCCTAGAAAGAATAGAGGATTCTCTCCAGCGCCCTTGACCTGGAGCCCTCACTGCTATGCCAGGCTCCCACACCTCTCCCCATGCTCCCAGCGGGCTCAGCAGTGCGCTTGATAGCAAAGCACAGCTCGTGCCACACCGCCATGGCAACCAGCAGCTCTGCGGTTGTCTTGTTCCGGGCAAAGGCAGGGGGGTGGGGTGGGAGGAAGGGCACTGCTTCTCCCAAACCCTGACAAAGCAATGATTACATTTCACATTACCGAAGAAATGCGGCTGGCAACTGCGCTTTTAGTGGGGGAAATGCTAAGCCCTGGTTTCATAGATATACCTCCGCTTTGCACATTTTGTCCTTGTGCTGTATTCACTTGGGAGCAGCTGAGAATGTTCCTGGGCTCATTTTATTAGCATCGCCCATTACGCTGCTTTTCAAATCGTCGACTGGCTTAATAGAGGTGTGTAACCTTGGAAAAAGTGCATCCACATGGAAGTTTGCGTGCCAACCTCTAATTTCTCATCCGTTCCCCTAGAAGTTGAACTGCAGGCTTTAATTGGTCAAATCATTAAAGGATGTAATTAGAGCCGGGTGGAAGTAGGCTAGGAGGGAGGAGGAATACAACAATGGCATCTACAATCGAGGGCATCACCGCGAATGCAGTGACAGGAACCCTTCTTCTCTTGGCTTTCTGCCTCCCTGCTTGCCTGCCTATGATAAGAGCTGCCGGAGCAGTCTTCAACCACTAATAAATCATTTTCAGGGACCTCTAACCCCACCAGTATAAAAATCATAGTTTCACAGCCTCTCAGTTCTTATTAATGCGGATCTTTCTGGACTCTCGGGTCCACCGTAGACCTTGAAGACCTTTCCAATTGAAAAGAAGTACTTTGAGCCTGGGCTTCCTTCAAAAGGGGCTGTAAATAGTGACCCAACCTCTCTTTCCAGCAAGTTCCACGGCATGCATCTGCCGGACTCCAGGGTGAACAGTTACCCGACAGGCAGCTCCCCTGGGGTAGTGAAAATTAATTTACAAACCCCAATAAATGTAACAAGGGGAGAGAGCTCAGAATAAGGGTCCTGGAGAAAATTAAAGGTTTGAGGGACTCCGCGGTAGAGAACAAGCCCAGAGGCACAAACTCTTCAAAACCTGACCCCCAAAGAACCGCTGCCTGGGTGGCACAAATGGTGGCACTCAACTACAAATCTCAAGGTTGGCAGTTCAAACCCAACTAGGAGCATCACGCAAGAGACGCCTGGCTATCAGCTTCTGTAAAGATTACAGCTGGCAAAACCCTATGGAGCACAGTTCTCTATAGCAGATGGGTTCCCCATAAGTCAGAACTGGCTTGAAAGCAGCAGGTTTGTTTCTTCTTTTAAAGAATTGCTATTAATGGGAGTCTAGTAGAGACACTAGGAGCTCTGGTGGCATAGTGGATAAGGCATTTGGCTGATAACCAGAAGATCAGCGGTTCAAACCCACTAGCTGCTCAGGGAAGGAAGACTGGGCAATCTACTTCCATAAAGATTTACAGCCTCAGAAACCCAATGGGAGTGGCTATGAGTCTGAATTGAGTCGATGGCAGTGAATTTGGTTTTGGTGTGGCAGAGACACAGAACCAAGGAGGCTCCTGGTCCTGCCTAACATGATTTAAAAAGCCTCCAGGGGATAGCCTGACACAAAAGCTGCAACAGTGGAGTCAAACATGACAACAGGCATGAAGATGGCACGGGTCCATGCAACTTTTCATTCTGTTGAACACAAGGTCACATGAGTCAGCGCTAACTCCATAGCAGCTACCAAGAACAAATGAGTCCAGAGACAGGCACCAGAGTGAACGCACAGCCACGTAGAAAGAGGACCCCAAATATGAAAGTTCAAGGCCAGATCCTGGCTGCAGAATCACAGCCAGGATTTATCCCTGGGTCCTTACACTAAAGGCTACCTAATTAGGAGATGATAACTCCAAAATGACTGTCAGGACCAGTGGGCAGGCAGGGAGGGATAGCAAGGACTCACCACACATCCAAGATTCTCTCTCCATTATGCATCCTTTGATCTCCAGGAAAAGGAAAAGAAGGGAAGAAAGAAAGGAAAGACGTGTTCTCAGGGCTGCTGGCTCCCACTGTAGCATCTCCGATTTGGTGGTGGCGGTCTTCACTCTTCTTATTTGAACTCAGAAAGTCACACACCAATTAAATGTGCGTGTGTAGTGGATGCAAGTTTGCTGGTCTCTTTTAACTGTAAAAGTACTTTGCTGAAAGAATGAAATTGTGGAGAGATCCAGTCAGAGCATCGTTGAGTCTGGCATGCTTGGGCAGGTCATGGGCATGTGTTCCTTGAGCTGTTCCCAAAGCACGGCCATGGGTACCACAGAAAGTCCAAAGAGGACAGAGGAGGAGCTGACCCACATGGTTGATTGCATTGGATTTCTC